TTTTGCTCTAAGTCTCATGGCTAGTTAGGAGAGAGCCAGGATTTCCAACTTTTAATTAAACTCAGCAGGACCTCAAAAGCCTAGTCTATTCTGTGAACATAATGTCCCCTTATAATATTCCCCAATGAGTGGTTACCTAACCTTTACTTGAAGACCTCCAGTGAAGGGGCGCCACCCTATTGTCTCCTCCGATCCTCATTAGCCACAATCTGGGCCCAAACCATCCCTTCTGTCCATCCTCTTCAGCCCATTGGCTAGACATGCAGACACTTGCATGGCCTGCCATTTCTGCTTCTCATCTTGTCTAATCCAGCCACAGTTCCTGAGACTGGATGCCCGCGATATGAACTGATGGTGCAGCACTGACCTCTTGCGGTAGAGTTTGGGAAACCACACTGGTCAGGCTCTTGCCAGATTTCCCTTCCTTATAACTTTATGGACTCTGAGATAAGCACACCACTGTTTGGTCCCATGGCTCACTGGCTTTGTCCAATGGCTGAATTCACGGCAACCTTTTGTCGTCCTGTATTTTTTTAATCAATGGATAATAATTGTGCAAGTGCTATTACAAAGCAGAGACACACAGGTGTTTGATGTATAAGTGCATTGACCTGCATATATGGCTATTTGTGTGCGTTATGTATACGTACATTTACGTACCTGCCTTTTTATGGGTGTAGTGAACTCTCAGCGAAGAAACTCCTTTAACTAAAGCCGATGAGCAACCATTCTTCAACTTTTTAGGAGTATCCTAGTTGGGCACAGGGTTCTTGGGTCTAGGGTTCTTGCCCAGGACAACAAAGCATGGCTTCTTGACTACAGGGTGCCATGCTACTTCTCCAAACAGTTAAGTTACCTGTAGGAATAGAAGTCTGTTTGGGGCAGGGCTAAGGTTCAGGCCAGGTTCAGTCATAGTAAGGTTATGTTGGCCATTAGATCAAAATAGGCTATGTTTGGTATGGTGAGGTAGAATTAAATTGACATTTGTCATCAGGGTTAGGGTTGTGTTAAGACCATGGTTTAGTGTAGAGTTAAGTGAGATTATCATTAAAGGTAAACTTTTTATCTGGGGATAGATAGAACAGTTTTTGGTTTGGGGGGTAGAGACAGGATTATGCTTAGAAATATCTAATTGTTAATTTTTCAGTGTGATCATTTCTATCTTGGAAACTGGCAAACCCCACAAATCAGGGCTTCATTTATTGTTTTGTTGATTATCTAGTCTTAAGAAAAGGATGGATAAATAATCAATAATGAAGATTCAACTTCAAAGTGTCAGGAATACATTGCCCAAGAGCTCTGGTTGTTAAGTCTTTACCAGCATACCTCTTGGTAGAGGGTTATGAATTTAGGAAGAAGCTCTGAGACTGCACGACAGAATTTAACCATCCTCACCACTGCACAAAGTACATATTCATTAATCCAATAAACATCCACTGAGCACCTTTTCCATGAGAGGCAAGATGATTGTGGAAATATAAGTAAAAAACTTGGTCTTTGCCCTAAAGGAGCTTATAGACATGTATATAAACAACTGTAATATAAGATCCTACTTAGGGTATATGAGGTACAAAATCATCTAATTGTTGATTAAAGGCAGAGATCACCTGTGGCTGGAGTAAAGGATACTTGGGATATGTGCGATAGTCAGCCCATTGAATAACAAAGTGGGCATGAAAAAGGAACTTGATAGGCTAAAATCTATTAATTAATTCACTAATTAATTAATTAATTAATTAAATGTAGGGGCAACTAGGTGGCACAGTGGATAGAGCACCAACCCTGGAGTCAGAAAGACCTGGGCTCAAGTCCAGCTTCAGACACTATCTGTGTGACCCCAGGCAAGTCACTTAACCCTGTTTGCCTCAGTTTCCTCATCTGTAAAATGAGCTGGAGAAGGAAATGACAAACCACTCCAGTGTCTTTGCCAAGAAAACCTCAAATAAGGTCACAGAGAGTCAGACACCATTGAAAGTATTCAACAACAAAAATGCAAACTCTTAAACTTGAGTTCAAGAAATCAGTTATGACAGTATAGGATGGGGTGGTCCAGACGTGTCACTGTTTATGAAGATGTGGACATGGCTCGCCGTGAGTCAGTAATTTCATAAGGTAGACAGAAAGAGCTAATATCATCTTAGGCTAAATTCCAATGGAGACAGAGTGTCTGGGATACTGTGGGAGGTGATAGGCCTTTTGTACTCTTCCTTGGTCAGACCACATTTGACTTATTTCAATTATTGATGATTGGTCTAAGAAAAACATTGAACAGCCAGAGAAAGGTGATGAGTACGATGAGAAGACTGTAGATGATGCTATAGGAATGTCAGTTGAAGGAACTCTGTTTATTTAGCCTGGAGAAGAGGAGACCTAGAGGGAACATGATAGCTCTCTTCAATTATTTGAAAGTCTATTATCTAGACTTGTGCTTGGCCCTATAGAGCAGAATTTGGGGAGAAGTGATAGCAGATTTAGGCTCCAAGTACAGCAAACCTCCCTAACAATTTGGACCTGTACCCAAATGGGATGGAATTCTTTGGGGAAAAATGGATTCCTCCTTTCTAGAGGTCTTTAAGCAAAGAATGAGAAACCGCTTGAGGATCTCACAGAGAGGATTCTGAGTCAATATATATATATATATATATACACACACACACACACACACATATATATGTTTTATGTTTATATGTGTGTATGTATATGCACACATATACATATACACTGTATATGTATGTATACATACATACATACACACTGTGTATGTATGTATGTATGTATACATATATACACACATGCATATGTACACCTATATATACACAGACACAGACACATATATGCTGATGAAGTTGGCTCCTGAGGTCCCTTTTCAGCTTGTAAATCCTAAAGTTTCTCTAGTGGTTAATCAAGGCAGAAATAAGTGAGGTGCTCAGTCTAGGCACTAAAATAGCTGAGAGGAGCTAGTGATTTGGGGGATCCTTGAACCCTGGCAGAGGGGGCTTAGGAAACACAATTCAAGTCATGCATTTACTAAGTGCCTACCATATACCAGGCACTATGCTAAGCACTGAGGATACAAAGAAAAGTAAAAACAGAGTCCCTGGTCTCAAGGAGCTCTCAGTCTAATGTGAATCACTATGTACATGGTAGAAATATGTAGCATAAATAGGTCGCTTTAGAGGGAAGGCACTGAAGGAAGGGAAGACACCTTGAACACTTTAGTGACTCCTCTTAAGCCAGAGTCTTGAAAGAAGCCAGGAAAGCCAGGAGCTGGAAGAGAACAGCCAGGTGTGGAAGTCAGCTCATTAAAAAAACCAACAACAACATGGAGTCAGGGATGAGGGTGTGTGTGTGTGTGTGTGTGTGTGTGTGTGTGTGTGTGTGTGTGTGTGTGTGACAGCATGTAGCCCACAGAGTTTGTAGAGGGGAATAAAGTATAAGATTAAAAAAGGTAGGATGAGGCCAGGTAATAATCCAATTCCATGCCAAACATTAAACTTTATATTTGATTCTGGAGGTGCTAGGGAGCCGCTAGAGCTCATTGAACAAGGCGGTGCCATGGGCAGATACACTTTAAGAAAATCTCTTTGGCAGCTTAGTGGAGAATGGATCAGAATGGGGAAGAGACTTGAGGTAGGGAGGCCAACCAGCTACCGAAGTAGTCCAGGCTGAAGTTGATGAGGGCATGTACTCGGCTCGTGCCTATATGGATGCAGAGAAGGGGAAAGCTTGGAAGACAGAACCAACATGATTGGACAACATTATTGAATATGTGGGAGGAGTAGGAATGAAGAGTTGAAGGTGACACTAAGGGGGAGAGAACCTGGTTGGCAGGGAAGATGGTGGTGCCCTTGACTGCAAGAGGAAAGTTGGGAAGGGAGGGTTTGGGGAGAAAGGGTTGTTCTTGCTTGGGGTAGGTCTGGGATTTGAGTTTGTAAGGCTATCTCTTCACTTAAAAGCAAAGGGGAGGCTCTTGGGCCTGTGGGGGATCTGAGTGTCACTCTCCTAAAGAGACCCATTTATCCAGGTTGGGATGGAGACAGTAACCCTTCCCAGCACTACAAGGATCTAAGACATCTCCAAAGGCCTCATGATGGAAAATGCTATCCACATCCAAAGAAAGAACGATGGAGTTTGAATGCAGATCCAAGCACGTTATTTGCTAATTTTTTTCTTCTGTTGAGTTTTGTTTCCTCTTTCTGGTGGTTTCTCCTATTGGTTCTAATTCTTACCTACAACATCACTAATGTGAAAATATGTTTAATAGGAATGTATATGTACAGCCTGTATCAGATTGTGCGCCATCTTGGGGAGGGTGGTGGGGAGGAAGAGGGAGAAAAATTTTAAACTCAAAAGCATATGGAAGTGATTGTTGATAAATCAAAATACATTAATAAAAAATAAACAAAAATTTCAAAGTTTTGGAGGTCCTTTCTATGGTCTCCCATCCACATCAGCCAGTTAACAGCCTCTGCATGGCTGCTGAAATCCAGACACTCCTTACACAGACTTTGAAATCTTGTTTCTTATAAGCAGCATCTTATTCCTCACAGGACATGAAAGTGTGAGAAGAAGATGCAAAGGTAGGATGGGGCCATATTGGGGAAATCCTTGAATGCCAAGCTGAGTATAGGCTTTATTTGGTAACAAGCAGCAGCCAGCGAAGGTTTTGAGTAATGATATGGAGAGTATCATTGTCAGAATACTGCTTTAGGAAAATGACCCTGACTTGGAGAGGAAGAGACTATCTCTGTGTTGGAGGCAACAGTCCGGATGTGAGATAATGAAGGCTAGAAATGGGTGGTGGGAGTGGAATGAAGGTGGCTCCACAGAACCAGATAAATTGTGGACATAAAACCTCTAGGCATGGCATCTATTTGAATGTGGGAGATATAGGAAAGGGAGGGGTCAAAGGTGATTTTGCCATTTCTAATTGGATGATGGCTGTTACCAGTTCATCTGACCAGGTTCTTTCTGGGAAAGGAACTACTTACACTCACCACAAGGGTTAAATCATTTAATGGTGATAATAGAACAAAGATACACAGATTGGAGCCCTGGGGCCCTAAGATTCCCAACTTTGGGATATACACCAGGCTTATCTGACCAGGAGGACATCACACTGAACAGGATAAAAGCTGGAGTTGAATGATCTCATTCCACTACTAATTAGAGTTTCAATAGAGGAAGAAGCATCCATAATAGAAGCATCAACCAGTACAGATCACTGACAGTGGCAATTGGTCAGTTCACAAGGCCCCCCGCCCCCCACCCTCACCTTAGGCTGACTATTCGCCGAGGCCTACCCCATATTAACATGAAATGATCCGTAGGCCAACGAGGAGGAATGGACTCCTTCTCCTCTTGGATCTGGACAGCCAGATGAGTACATGCACAAATGAACAAATCTTACCATAACGAACGATAGGATACATGAACAATACAGGCACCAGCCTCTGCTAAGCATCAGTGCAGAAGAAGGCAAACATACACCACCCATTATTCCAAACAAGAATTGCTGACTACTTCTTAACCAAGAATGGATACCATTAAAGTCTGTTCTTGGCCTGGGTGGATGACTTAGGTCTTCCAAGATAGCCTTCTCATTTGCAGTCATTCTCTAGAGAATGGTGGTCCCACTAACAAAAACTGGGAAGTCAGGAAGAAGAGCTAGTTTGTGGTGTGGGAAGAGATGAAGAGTTCTAGATTTTCAACAATTTACAAACATTGGAGGGAGGATTTTGGTCCAAAGGAGAAGTTCTGTTCTAAAAACCAGGTTTTGCCCTCCCACATTACAGAGGTGGTTGTGGTTAGGCAAAGATAAAAAGTATTAAAGAGAGGGGACATCTCTCACTCATCATGAACTGAGCAAAGTCACCCATCTGTGAGCTCAGCTTTTGGGACAGACGGATTCATTTCAAGATGTGAAGGCAGAGAGAGAACAGTAAACCTCTCTGCTGGTGTAAATATTATCACACGGTATTTGCAAATCTGAAAACACAAAGTCCCAAGGTGACAATGGAATTGCTAAATGCTGAAGTCCATAGTGTGAATTAGGTCACTGAGAAGGAAAGAGGGCTCTTCTGTCTTTTCTATGCAGAATGCCAGGAATTACTTCAGTATTGATGGAAGCCATATAATGGATTTATGACTCAAGCCCCCAATTCAACAGATAGCCTCCGTTTGTGATGCAGGTGCCCTCTGCCTTACACAAATAACTATGTTCCCTAAAAGCTGCTTGTCGATTGATTGAAGCTGAAGCTGAAGCCTCTCTGAATAATTTGGAACCTATTTTAAATGTACCAAGGAGCTCACTATTAAAACTCTCGCTGGTATCACATGGTAGTTTCTTAGTTCATCTCTCATACGATTTTCATAGCTACTACCCTGTCAGAGATGAGTAGGACATTACTTTTATGCCCATTTACCCATAGAAAAACTGAGGCCCAGAAAGGTGAGCTGACTTGCCCAGCAGGACACAGCAAATTAATCCTAGATCCAGGCTGTGCATTACCCCATATTAAGAATGCCATAGCAAATCCTTCTGCAAATGGAAGCATCTTTTTGTCAGGTGAGTCACCACCATGTCTATTTTTCTTGGATGTCAATCCAGATGTCCACCTGATTTTCTAAAACTGGGGTCCATTGGTGTAGTAACGGTTGAGAATTAAGAAGGAAGCAGCTTGGGCCTCACCTCCCATTTCTAGATGCCCATGATCAGACATGGCTGCCGAAACTCTTACAATGGGAACATCTCTAACCCATGTGAAGTCACTTAACTGAAGACCAAGGCGGGGAAATGTATGCTACACCAATCAAGGCTTGTTTCCTGGTGTGCGTGCGTGCGCGTGTGCGTGTGTGTGTGTATGTGTGTATCTTTCATTTATTTCGCATAATAAAATGTCACCTGGGATGAGAAGGCCAAAGGGCACCAGGAAGTAAGTGTGAGGCAGGCGTTGGATGGCCTCTGACCCTCATTCTGCTGCTAAATAGACAGATAATGGTCGGGACCTTCTATATCTCAGCAACTGAGATGCCCTGAAACACAGGATCCATTTTGAGGCTTCCCCTTCAACAGGAATGATCACTGAAGAATCACAGCTATCTTCAGAAAACATGGATCTTTCCGGCTAAACAGAACTGTTGAACTGCACACCACTGGGGGTGGGGGACCTCAGAGGACTCTGGTCCAATCCCCTCATTTGAGAGTTGAAGGAACTTGGGCGAGAAAGTGGAGGTGATTTGCGTAAAGTCAGTCAGGAAGTAGCGCTGGAGTAGGCATAAGTACCCGGGGAACTCGATTCCTGGACCCTTGTATTTATTTCCAACACATCACATTGCCTCCCACAGCTAGATGAGCGTGGGAAGAGCTGGGGGAAAGGGAGCTGGGAATTCTGAGCAGGAAGCAGGGAGAATATTACAAAGACAGGGCAAGAAAGTCATGGGTGAAGAGGCATCAATCACTCAGTACCTTGTCTGCGACTGAATCAAGTCAATTCCTATGTAAATATGGAACAGGAAGAGAAAAAGAGCCAAGCACCTATGTCAATGACGTGCAGAAGCAGCTGAGCCTGGGGGCTGCGGGGTGGGGCGGGGGGGGAGGGGAGCCATGACCATGCACAGGCAGCAATTCCAGTATGAAAGGCACTTGGAGTTACACCCGGGCAGGTGGCCCACGGGGATGGAATGTCCCAGACGGCCATCCAGAGCTCAGCAGTGAACAGCGTCTGCAGCTGAGAGGGCGAGGAAGCGCCACCACAGGGAGCGAAGCAACGGTCTATGAACTCTAAGGAACTGGAGAGGCCTGCTGGATGAAGTCTGAGCTGGTGCAGAGGGAGACTGCTGACCTGTTCTGAAACTCTTGGCCTTCCTGATGGATGATCTGGAGTGTGGACCTGGGCCTATATGGCAAGAGGGTCTCCTAGTTTGTTTTATGCTGGAACCTGAAGAGGGGGTGAGCTGGGGCTTAGAAGGTGAAACTACCCTTCTTCCACCTCCCCTCCCCCCCACATATTCCCAGAGGTCCTTTCCAGCCTGGTCTTATAAAGAGACACCTTCCAGGTGTCTCTGCCCTGTCTGCCAAAGAACCCTCCTGATTGGGGGCTGGGAAAGGGGATAACATCCAAATGAAATTGCACAGAGGTCTTTAGACCAAGCAGATGGAGGGATATGGAAAGCCCATTTAAATAGGGATTTGGGGACTGGAACATCGAATAGCAGAGTGAGACAGAAACACGGCCAGTGGAATCTGGAGGAGCATGGAGCATCTCCCTCCCATCTCCCAGGCCCACAGCAGAGCTCACTCCCCATTCCTGGTCTGGGGAGAGGCTTTTCCCAGGGAAGCCTGGTTGGGACCTGCAGCCTGCTTTCCCTCTGGCTTGGGGTTTGACAGCAGGCTCTCGAGGTAGTTCCTAAGCCCCAGCAGGGAAGGGAGTGACCGAGAGCTCCGAGAGGCCAAGTAGCGGCTGTATTTCCTGAGTCCCCACTCAGGATCATCGTGGAAGGCCGCCTGCAGCTCTGTGAGGCTGACATTCCGGAGGGCAAGGAGCTTGGCCTGGTTGCGGGTCAGGACGTTGACGTGGACCAGGGGCTGTAGGGAAGCAAAGCAGTCTAGGTTAGAGAAGGGGAGCACTCTGCGGTTGATATTCTGGCCTGGGTAGATCTGCAGGATCTTGCAGAGGTCCCGCGTGGCCCGCACCGAGGCCAGGGCGCTGTTGTCATTCATGTTTTTTGACAGGTAGGTCTTGACCAGATTCTTCAGCTTATAGCTGTTGGCCCCAGGCACTTTGTCACGGACCAAAGGCAGGATGTCCACGAACCCCGAGATGATCTCGTGGAACTCCCCCTTTTTAGAGGAAGTCTCTAGGGCCTTAAAGAAGACAGTAATGTTAGGTGACCAGAGCTTGTAGCTGGCCAGGATGGGGTGAGAGGAAGAACGGAGGTAGCAGAGGAAATTCTGCAGGCCGTCCTCAATGGCAACCCCCCTGGAAAAGAGGCTGAAATGGGCCTCGTCTTGCTGGATGATGATACGGAAATTGTTCTCGCCATTTACAGCGGCCAGCTGGGTGATCTTCTTGGCTGGGGATGAGAGAGAGAAAGAATGAGAGAGGGGGAGAGAGACAGAGGGGCGGGGGACAGAGACAGAGAGAAGAGAGAGACAGAAAAGATGGAGACAGCGGGACACAGAGACAAAGATAGAAACGAAGACAGAAAGGGACAGGGAGAGAGGGAGAAAGAGGAGGGGGGAGAGGGAGAGAGAGAGAGGGAGAGGAAGAGGGAGAAGAGAGGGAGAAGAAGAGAGGGAGAGGAACACAGAGAAAGAGATAGAGACAAAGACAGAAAGAGACGGGGAAAGAGGGAGAAAGGAGAGGGGAGAGAGACAGAAAGAGGAGAGGGAGAGGAGAGATACAGAGACAGAAATAGAGAGACAGAGAGAAACAGGGAGAGAAGATAGAGACAGAGAAACAGATAAAAAGAGAGAGGAAAAAAAGAGACAGAGAAGAGATAGGAAAGAGAAAGAGAGAAAGAGAGAGGAGACAGAAGGGAAGAGAAAGGAGAGAGAAGGGAGAGAAAAAGGGAGAGAGGAAAAGAGGAAGACAGAAAAGAGAGGGAAGGACAGAAGTAGAGAGAGGAAGACAGAGGAGACAGAAGGAAAGAGAAAGTTAGAGAGAGAAAGAAAGAGAGAGTGCTAGAGAGAGAGGAAGAGAAAGAAAGAGAGAGAGAGAGAGAGAGAGAGAGAGAGAGAGAGAGAGAGAGAGAGAGAAGGAAGGAAGGAAGGAAGGAAGGAAGGAAGGAAGGAAGGAAGGAAGGAAGAGAGAGAGAGAGAGGGAGGGAGGGAGAGAGAGAGAGCGAGAGAGAGAGAGAGAGACAGAGAGAGAGAGCGAGAGAGAGAGAGAGACAGAGAGAGAGAGACAGAGAGAGAGAGAGAGAGAGAGAGAGAGAGAGAGAGAGAGAGAGAGAATCAGAATGCATAGGACATGGAGAGATAAGGGAAGAAGGGGTAAGAAATGTCAGTGTGAACAGTGTCAGAGACATTGAAATAGTTGCTTGAGCTCGTATTCTTATTTCTGGTCTTCAATACATCTCTCTTGGAACTCATGCACCTGAAGCCAAAAGTGAGACTCTTGGGTCATCACCTCTTTCAATCAACCAACCAGTATTTTTTTCCTTTCCAAATTTTTAAAAAATTATTTTATTTTTTCAGTCACTAAGCATTCAGTTTTCTTCTCTCTACCAACTCTCCTTACCTACTGAAAAGGAAGGAAGGAAGGAAGGAAGGAAGGAAGGAAGGAAGGGAGGGAGGAAGGAAGGAAAGGAGGAAGGAAGAAAAAAGGAGGAAGGAAGAAAAAAGGAGGAAGGAAGGAAGGAAGGAAGGGAGGAAGGAAGGAAGGGAGGAAGGAAGGAAAGGAGGAAGAAAGGAAGGAAGAAGGGAAGGAAGGAAGAAGGAAGGAAGGAGGGAAGATTGAAGGAAAGAAGGAAGGAAGGAAAGAAGGAAGGGGGAAGGCATGGATGGGGGTGGGGTGGGGAAGATGATCACATTAGTATTTATTAAGCACCCATTGAGTGTTAAATGTATGTAAGACAATATGGTATGGTGGAAAGAGTCAGTCTTGGAGCCAGGAAGACCTGGGTTTGAGTTCTGACTCCGTCATCCTGGCTGTGTGATTCTGGGCAATCACTTAACCTTTCAGTGCCCTTGGCAGCCATCCGTGACTATCGGTTATAGAAAAGGTGCTGACTTGCACTAGTGGAAGAACTTTCCTCAGCTGGGAGTGCCCTTGGCCAGTGCCTTCCTCAGTCCCATCTCTCTCCCAATCCCTATCCTATGTATGAAATGCCAACCCCCGATCCTTTCTCTGATGAGGGTTCTTCTCGGAATGCTTCAGGGCAGGCTGCATCAGCACCATGCCCAGCCCTGAGCAGGTGTGTAATACATGTTTGTTAATTGAAGGAAATAGGAACCCAAGTGCTAAGCACTTTTTTGGGGTACAAATATTATGTCATTTGTTCCTCACAACAAGCCTGTGATTATTATCCCCATTTCACAGTTGAGGAAATGGAAGAGAACACAGGTTAACTGACTTGCCCAGGGTCACACAGCTAGTAAGTGACTGAGGCAGTTGAACTCAGGGCTCCCTGACTCCAGGCCAAGCGCTCTACCCAGTGTGCCGCCAGCTGCCTCTAAGCGACTGATCGACCTCCCTGACAGCCTCCAGTCAAGGCTTGGGCAGCTGTTTTCTTTTCCCTTCAGTGATACATTGCAGATGTGTCCCCCAGGGGTTTCTTCTAACCATCCTGGAACCTGATCACAAACCTGATTTTGCTCTCAGTCTGGTTTCCCTGCTTGAGGAAATGATGTTAACAACAACAGTGAAAATAACGATAATCTCATTTAACATTTTGATAGAGCTTTAATGTTTGCAAAGCACTTTATGACTATTATCTCATTTGACTGCCTGGTACGTGCTGATCAAATGAGACAAAGTTCGTAAAAAGTGCTTAGCCCAGTGCCTGGCACTCAGGAGGTACTGTATAAAGGTTTCTTCCCTTCCAGACTATGAGCGGCGCATCAGGGGGCTTATTTCAGAGTTTAGGGATTGAAAAGAATGTTGCATTTTCTCCTCTTTAGCAGTATACAGACACTGACTGAAATCCGTCTTTACATACCCATCCTTCCTCACCCCCATCATAGTCCATGGACACTTTAGGATCATGATAATCTTTTTTTTTTTTTTTTTGGTAAGGCAATCAGGGTTAAGTGACTTGCCCAGGGTCACACAGCTAGTAAGTGTCAAGTATTTGAGGCTGGATTTGAACTCAGGTCCTCCTGCCTCCAAGGCCAGAGCTCTATCCACTGCACCACCTAGCTGCCCCCATGATAGTCTTAACTAAGATCCTAGGACTAGAGCTGGAAAGGACCCTGGAGGCCATTTAGAAAGTCACATTAAAACAATAATCAGAGGCAGAATTTGAACCCAGGCCTTTTGACTCTTGAACCAACACACTCTTCTCACTGATCTATAGTGCTTATATCACTGAGCTGCCTACTCATTCAAAAAGCATTTATCAAGGGCCTGCTTGGTATTCCTTAAACATCGTATTAGATATTAAATCTCCCACCTCCACATCTTTGCACAGGCTGCCCTGTAGACCTCACCTCTTAGATTTCTGTTTCCTTTAAAGTTTGACTGAAGGGGTACTTTGCACACGAGGCCATTCTGGTCTTTTCTTGCCCCCTTCCCCACTTGTTGAGGTCTTTCTAAAGTATTTCGTGTTAGTTTTATATTGACTTACCTATATGCATGCTGTTTTCCACAATAAAATGTAAACTCCTTGGAGGGCAAGGGATTGTTTTATTTTTGTTTCTGTGACCCAAATTTGTATATAGCACCACGAGTGCCTTGACTACAACTGGCCTAAGAAATGCTGGTTGAATAAATGCCCATTTCTGGGCCACGCCAGCAATTCAGTCTCCCTTTGGATACGGTGACCAGACTGGCCTGGCATTCCAGGTACTGGCCACCATAGCTGGCCTTAATGGAAAGGAGAGTGGGTTCCATCTGACTTCCATCTTGCCCTTCCAAGCCAAGGCATTCTGTTGTTCGGATGGGCCAGCCTGAATCCTGGACTAAGGCCACAGAAATGAGGATCTGGGATGAGGAGGGACTGTTTTACCCTTGGTTGGTATATTTTCAGGAAAAGGTGACTTGAGCTGAAGAACTAATCTTCCTCCTCTTCAATGTCTATGTGAGGCTGGGCATTTGGGGAACTTGCCTTGCCTCTTAGTATGAACAGCCACCTAGTCCAACATCCACATTTTTTCATATAAGGAAACTGAGGTCTTTAGATGGGGAGGGACTTGCTCAGCAGACCCTGTTTTCCTCCTTGATCTGCTCTCCCCACATTGATGGCAAGACTGGGCCCTATGATCTTTAAGTGACCCTTGGTCAGAGATGCTGCCTGCCACCTGGGCTACTTCCCACCTGTGTGACCTTGAACAAACTGCTTAAATCTCCAGGCCTCAGTTTCCAGAAGGGGACTGACTGTATCAGATGATTTCCTGAGGCCCCTCCCAGCTTTAAATCCCCTGGTCCTATGAAAATGTTGACTTGTGAAATTGGGAATCCAGACACACTTCCTTCCCTCAGGGTGGAAGTCCTGACTTCAACATCCAAATTAACTTCGGGACGCTCAGGCCAAAGGGAAGCGCAAGGATCAGCTGGCTGAAAGAGCATCTCACAGGGCCAGTTTGGGCTGCCTCTCCACATTCACTGGTGACGTACAGGTACCCATTTGGCCTATCCACCCCTTCTGGGACTCTGGAGGTGAGGCCAGAAGGGGAAAGGGGGCACTGATGGGAGACTCACTTTTGCTGTCAACCTTGTAGTCAAAGAAGACCAAAGCTCTGTTTTCATGACTGGGTTCTCTGATGGGGTGGCTGGGGGGGGCTTTCGTGCTGCCTGTGCACTCCACAAGATCTTCTGAGTCACTGCTGTTCCCGAAATCACTGCAGGACTGAAACACAGAAACCACCGTGACACCATCTTTTCATTGAAGAGCAATGTGGGGTGGGGTGGGGGACTACGGGTGTGGAATGTTGCATGCCTGGTGTGTCTTAGTTTTGCGTAACTGTTACAGGGAAGGCTAGCTCTGTGTTGCAGGAGAGCGCAGGGGTATATCTAGAAATGCTGACTGTCATATAAAAACAGAAAGTATCAACAAAATGAATCCATCCATCAATATCCTGAATAGAGCCAGAATGAGGTACAAGGCTAGGGGGAGCACGAAGTGGCAAGAAGGTAACTTGGTTGCCTTACGAAGAAGAGGCGTGAGATGACTAAGGTTCTCCTCTGATGCCTCACCGGGACAAAGAGGCAACCCTGCATTCTCTTAGGCCGTAAGTCAGAAGACTTCAAGTCATGGCAGGTTCTACCACGCTGGGAAAGACTGATTGCCCGTCATCGGAGGGCCAGTCTAGTTAATTTATAGAGAGCTTGATCACCTGAAGATTGATTACCAAGGGGGGATTCCATCCACAAAAAACTTCTTTGCCATGGTGGCCCACTGCAAGTACTCACAAACCATGCATTTTATAAGCTCCAAGTCCTCTTGTTTCTCACCCATCCTGGACGGTGCTCAAGTAGAAATACGGCTTGTTGGAGCTTCCTCCCCACAGAATATCTGTGTCAACTCCATGTCTGTTGGCCCTGGTCATCATGCATCTAGCTTTCGTCAAGCTACTTAGCACTGCCCCTTACCCTGACCTGCCAAGCCCTGATACTGTTCAGGGAGAGCCACGAGTGTTAGCTCACAAGAGTCACTTCCAGCTTTTTTATTATTTTTTTTAAAGATTTATTATTTTTTTCAGTTGGTAAAAATCTATTTTCTCTCCTTCCCACCTCTCCTCTCTCCATCCCTAGTATTGGAAAAAGGAAAAATAAAAACAAAACCCTCATAACATTTGCAGTCAAGCAAAAAAAAAAATTCCACTTTGACCATGACGAAAAAATGTCTTGTTCTACACCCTGAGTCCATCACCTCTCTGTCAGGAGATGGGTAGAATGCTTCATCATGGATCCTCTGGAATCATGGGTGGGTCACTGCACTGATCACAGTTCTTAAGTCTTTCAAAGTTGTCAGTGCTGTTTTGTATAAATTGTTTTCCTGTTTCTGCTCACTTCATTCTGCACCAGTTCACAGAGGTCTTCATAGATTTCTCTGAAGCCATCCCTTTCATCATTTCTCACAGCACAAGACCATCCCATCACATGCATATATCATAATTCATTCTGCCATTCCTCCATAGACGAGCAGCCCCTTAGTTTTCCATTCTTTGCGTCCATGGGAACCAGCTCTTTTAAATAAACGCAAGACACAGGACCCTATTCACAAACCGCTGCTATATCACAGGCAGCTTCCAACTCACAAAAAACGCATCCCCCAAAGTAGCCACTCCCTCCTCATCCCTCCCATGTCCCCAGAGAGTTCTGAGTCAAGATGGCAGAAACTTTTCTGCAAAAAAGCTGGCTCTTTAAGAAAATCGAAAGTGGAGGACAGGCTGTGGAAACAAGGAATAGTCTACAAGACCTGACCCTAGGCCTCTGGTACTAGGCATAAGCATGGATGTTCATGGAATCTTCTTGACTCGGTAGGGCGAGCCTGACCCTGTGAGTATAGGTGCGGGGATCCAGATGTGTTAGGGGAGACTAATAGAGGGCTAAGGGGAGTGGTTCCTTCAAAAAGAACGTGGGGGCTCCCAGAACGAGTGGAGAAAGGAAGACAGAAAGGGCTTACTTGGCTAACGTGCTCACCTCGCTCTCTTCCGACTCTTCAGAGCTGCTGATCACCACGACTGGGTTACCTGCAAAATGGAAAGGGGAATCAGTCAGCCCTGGGGGGTGTTCCAGGAGAATACGGTGTGGACCTCGAGGTGCCCCATGAATGGAGGATGGCTGAACGAAGGGCACAGACCATCGTGCTGTAATGACAACTCTGAGGAATGCAGAGAATTATGGGGACTGAGGTAGAGCAGAGTAAGCAGGACCAGAACAATTTACACAGTGACCACCACATAAAGAAAAACAATGCTGAAAGACTTTTAGGACTGTAATCCGTGCAGCGACCAACTCTGACTTCAGAAGCTTGGATGGTTCAAGTGTCACATGCCTCTTGCCTCTCAGAAAAGAGATGGTGGACCACTGGTTCAGAATAGGACATACATTTTTAGGCATAGTCAATGTGTTGATTTGTTTTGCTTGACTATATTTGCGATGAGGGAGGGTTTTATGGGGGTGTGAATTACATGTTTAAGAAAATAATAAAACGTTATATAGGGATCAGATTTCTACAGCAAGTTTACAAAGCACTCACAGCAGCCTAATGGGTTACATGGCAAATATATTACTATGCCTATTTTACAGATGAAGAAACAGGCTCAGAGAAGTTGACATGTCCCAGGTCATTCCAATATTAAGTGCTGAAACAGAGACTAAACCCAGATCTCTCCTGAGGCTGAGTCCAGCAATCTTTTTTTTTTTTTTTAGGTTTTAATGTTTTATTATAAACAATATTAAACATCAACTCTACCAATTATATTTACTTTACAACTATTTCCAACTAAATACATTTCAGTACATAATTTGTCATAACTCTTTTTTCAATCGCTCTTTCTAATCTCCATTGGGATTCCTTATTTGACTATTCATTTCTGCTTCCCTTTTTGATTTATGGGATCCTGTATTCCCATTGTACAGATGAGAAGCTGAGGCTCAGAGAGGATGACATGTCTGAAATCATATAACTACTAAGTGTTTGGAATTGAGATTAAACCCAGGTCTCTCTTGATGGCAAGTCGAATATTTTATTTTGAAATTTTAAAAATTATATTATTATAAATAACATTAAAAATCAATTCTACCAATTAAGCTTAATTTGCAACTATTTTCATTTAAACACATTTCAGTACACAATATGTCGTTATTATTTTTTTCAGTCTCTCTAATCTTCATCAGTAGTCCTTGTTTTGACTGTCCATGTCCATTTCTGCTGTATATGGTTTGGCAAATGTATGTTCACTCTTTTTGTTTCTGCTTGGCATTATTTCATGGAGTTCTTTTGAGGCCTCACATTTTTTTTTCTGCATGGCTGTGGACACACTGTGTAACCCGCGGGCCTTGGGAAACTCTCTGGGATGTATGGATGAAGTAATAGATCGGTAGCTCCCTTCATTATGGCCACGGTCATGATCCAGTGAGGTGAGAGCCATCAAGACGGGCTGAGGCAGAGCCAGGACACAGAGTGTTGCAATCCCTTGCTATCATCAGCAGAGCTCTGGTTCATCGCCACTCTGTCTAGTCTCATCCCCTGCGGATAGAAAACTCCCGCCACCTTTTACTCACCCAATCCTAGTGAAATGGAATATGTAACCACTTCCTTATCCCCCAGCCCCAAACTCCCTTTTTAAAATCTTAATCCATTTCCACCCTATCCCTCCCGTATTCGACACCATCTGTTTGCCCCTTCCATGGTACCCTATGGAATGCCTGTTACATCATCAACACATTCCCTTTTATTTGGGGACCTCTTTGTCTCCTCCCCCTTCCATCTCCTAACACTTGTAGAAACCTGGCTTGTCTCAGAAGACGCCGCCACCCATCCGCCTGTCCTTTTCAGTTTTGATTGCATCTCCAAGACCCTAGTCCTGAAGGAAGAGTTGAAACGCATCTTGCTACTCACGGCCAGGGGCAGGCTTTTCCTCTGCTGCTACGACTCAGTTATCTCTCTTCCTTTGAGGTTTGCCCTGCCCAAATATATCCCCCAATTCAGATTCTCGCTCTGTTATCAAGCAAATTTCCAGCCCAGCCCTGTCCTCATCCAAGGGAATTTCAAGATATGTGCTGATGCTCCTCCAAAACCCCAAGCCTCTCGGTTCCCTGGCCTCCTGCGCTCTCGTGACGTCCTCTTCCACCCCGCCTGAGCCATACGCTGGGACTGCCACAACTCCAATCTTTCCTAATCATCCACAAGTGTTCCATTGCCTCGACCACAACTCCTTATTATTTCATCTCTCCCCTAAAACTTGTTCTTTGTTCTCACCGTCACCTCCGGTTCTTCTATTACCCTCCCACACGATCACCTCTGCTCTGGCTTCCCTTTCTCGCCTTTGGAATTCTGGTAATACAGTTGACCGGTCTGTCAGTATACCATTCTCTCCTCTTGGATCCCTTACCCTCTCACCCTATCAGTATCCATGCCTTGTCAAATTCCAGCCCTGAATTACTCCTGCCATTGGCCTCTTTTGTTCCTACTCATGTGGTACAGACACAGAGCTAGAGGAAGTCACAGCACTGTACAGACCGGGTCCACCACAAATTTATGTAACCTGATATCAACTGGGTTCTCACTACAGCAAGGCAATCCCTTTACTCCTCTCTACTTGAGGAGTTATATCATCATAGCTGTTACTCTAGACTTTCTCTTTTCTCCTCTATTCTGCTACACTACCTCCTTCCTTACCCTCACAGCCTCATATATTACAGAGAAAATAAAGGCCATCTGATGAGTCCTTCTTGACCCCTTCTCTGTATTTCAAAAGCCCTTGAAAGTATCCTCTAGTCTATACTTCAGTCTCATTGCCAAGGACAACTACTACATGTCCCACGGATCTAATCCCTTCCCCTCTATGGTAGACTGCCCTTATAATCAAGGCCTTCCCCTCTCATCACTTCTGCTCACGAACACACCAGGTTTTCCCCCACTTGAAAGAAAAATCACTTGACCCTACCAGCCCCTCAACCTATCATGATGTATCTCCCTTCCCTTTCTCAGCAAGCAGAGGAGTATGCCTGAATTATAAGGGGACAGAAGGGTATACATCGTAAAGAAGACTGGAAAACGAGGAAGGAGATAGAGGATAAGAAATTTAGATGATGGAAGACTTCTCACACTGGAAGTAGGCCCCCTTTCCCCCTCCCCCCTACCCTGCGGCCTTTCCCTCTGATTGGCAGGTTCCTCCCATCCAATTTCTTTTCAGTGGGGGTGCCCAGGTCAGACTTTATCCCTCTCCAAGCTGAACTCTTAACTCTCTGGCTTTCCTTTAACATGGCCCTATGCCAGGCACCTTCATCTTCCTTCCCCACCCCGACTTTTTGGCTTCCTTTTATGTATTCCTCCCTCCATTAGAACGTAAGCTCCTTGAGGCCAGAGACCGCCTTTCCTTCTGCTAAGGAATCGATCACTGCAACTCTGAAGACAGCTGGGCCAAATCCATATCCCTTTGGTTAGGACAAGACCAGGAGTTGGTATTTCATCCACATTTTCACTGGGCAACTCAAGGCTAAGGGATTCTTCCGATAATAAGTGAGGGTTAGAACCAACCTGGGAGGTCAATCAAGCCTGACTCTCCCACTTCACAGATGACAAAATGAAGGCCCAAAGGGGTTAACTGATCTGCACAAATTCAAACAGATGGCCAGTGGCCATTGTCACATTCAAAGGATTATATATTTAGAACTAGGAGAGACCCAAGTAAAAGGTCTTTGAGTCTCATCCCTTCATTTTACCAATGAGGAAACTGGGGATTAGAGAGGTTAAATAATTTATCTCAGGTCACACAGTTAGTAAGTAGCAGAGTCATAATTTGAACTTGGGTATTGAGACTCTAAATCCAAGGCTCTTTCCACTGTACTGAGATCTCTGGACAGTTAGATTTGTAGTCAGCTCATTCCTTCCCAAGGGCAGGTAGGGGGCGCCATAGTGCACAGAGTGCTGAGCCTGGAGTCAGGAAGACTCATCTTCCTAAGTTCAAATCCAGCCTCAGATACTTACTAGCTGTATGATACTGGGCATGTCACTTAACCTGTTTACCTCAGTTTCCTCATTTGTCAAATGAGCTGGGGGAGGAAATAGCAAACCACTCCAGTGTCTTCACCAAGAAAACCTCAAATGGGGTCATGAAGAGTTGGACATGACTGAAAAATGACTCAACACCATCATCATCATCATCATCATCATCATCATCATCACCATTAACAACGACAACTCCTACCCAGGGATCCAAGAGTTGCTCCCAATGACTGCCAGACTCTCTTTCCTTTACTCACGCTATGCCTCCTGCCTGACCACGTCCTCTCACTTCCCATCCATCCATCTATCCAAGGCCCCCTCATTCCAAACCCAGCCCATTTTCCACTGCCCTCCAGCTATACTAGTATCAAAATCCTTCCCTATCTTCAAGACTCAGCTAAGATCTCACTTCTTGTAGGAAGCCAACCGGCTTTGAACCTTTCCTCCTCTGAAATGATATATAATTTATGTTAAATTACATATACGTATATATATATATAAACAAATACAAAATTCTGTTAAAAGGAAGCTGGGGAGCCTTTCTGGGAAAAACGACATCAACAACAACCTTTATTAAGAGAAACAAAGGTGGGTCTACAGTCTGCCCAGCATGGTCTGAGACCCCGAGATACAAAATTCACAGTTATTTATAGTTTTCTTGATTCATGGATGGTGAAAAAAAACCTTGCTATTGCGCACATCAGTTTTCTTTTACTCAAGCAGCCTCTTGAGAAAACCAGGGTGCTTTTTCATCAGAAGCTCAGGGGAAACAACATACTTTACAATGATTTAGTTACACTTCTAAGGTTAACTAACACACGAATTTCCTTGGGACTACATCATAGTTTGGTTACACAGGTTTTTTACCCAGGACTATATTCTTACTACAAATCACACAGTTAATTCTTATCCTAATGATTATAGCTGATAAAAGATTAGCAAGGCAATACAGAGCAAGGCACTCAATGCCTTGAATATTGATATTTTTCCTTTCAATTCTCCCCTTCCATCATTTTC